CAAAACCTATTCTCCTTTTATTTCCAAAACTCAGAACTGAATTGAGTAAACACAAGAATACTTTGGCGTTTGTTTTTATTTTTTTTATTTTTAAACTTTTTTGTATATTTTTTCAATTCACTAATATAAAGTTTACATCTCTATACTGATTGCAATTCATTTTTTCAAAACTCCTCCCCCTCATCTAGCAAAATAAAGGCTTATATTTATTTCATTGGATAACAATAACGAATTTTGTCTTGATATAAACAAGTGGAAAATAAGAATCCAGTCAAATTCAAAGATTTTTATCCAATCTTTCATTGTTCAATTTTCAGAAATTCAAATAACCTTTTTTGTTTTGTTTTCTAGATTATCAAGTTCACTTTTATTTTTTTTTCCTCCCTCACATCTTTGTTGAATAAAAATCAAATATATTTTTCCATATCAATTTATTAAGTTCAAATACATCACAGAAACAATCTGTACATTCTGCATGTGTGTATGCATGCAAAAGTTCTTTGCCTAACCAAGGAACACTTAAAAGAATATGGCAAATGGGTCAAGCCAAAGGCTTTTCTCCATCCTCTCCAATGTGTGGTGGATGCATGCCTGCTTTATTACCAAGGTAATTTTATATTTACTACAGTAAAAACCAAGTTCTTAATTACTCATTTTTAAGGCAAGTAAAAGCCTGGGGGTAGGGGCAGTTTACTACCTGCTAATGACTAAAGCAGTTTCTCTCTCAAGCTATTCCAGTGAGAATAGCTAAACCCCCAGCAGTATTAAAAACAAGACCAAGGCAAAGGACATCAGCTGTGGTTTGAGCTGGAGAGGAATGGGCTTCACCAGGTCTACTTGTGCTTAATATATGCTACACATGAAAGAATACCTCTCCAGATTGGCTAATGCTAACCTCTGAGAGTGAGACTCATTGTGCCTTCTCGGGCTAACATTGTCAGATGATATGAAGTGGAAAGACTATATTGAATATATTGTTAAGTTAGCTGCTAAGTTAAACAATTTTTCTCTCTAGAATCTATCTTACATATCTATGTCTACCATTCATCCATGCTTAGAATATTACTGCCACATATGGTCTGGTGAGTCTGCTATATATTTATAGATTCTTGATAAAATCCAAAGAAAAATCCACAATATTATTGGTCCTGATCTGGTATCTTGGCTTCAATCACTTTCACACTACCATAAAGTTGATTTCCTGTGCCTTTTCTATAAATACTTTCATGGTAATTGTTCTAATAAACTTTCCGCTATGGTATCTAAACTTTGTGAATTTAAGTGCTGCACTAGATTGGCAACAAGGTCTCATCAATTTACAGTTTAATTGACTAGATATAACCGTAAGTTCTATGATAACTGTTTCTTTTCTCACACTTCTCACTTGTGAACTCTTCTGGCTCCATGCTTTTCAGTTAAATTTGATTTTCAAAAACTGAAATGCAGTGTCAATTATTATCTATTGTCTTCCTGCCTTGCTTAGGGTAAATCTGATAAAAGAAAAAAAAAAAGACATGTAGAAGGGACTGGTCAGCATCTCAGCTGCACAATGATTGCATGACCACACCTAGCGATAACGATGATGAAAATGTTTCCATTTAAAAGTTCATGTAACAAAATTTTCCTATAATTGAAATGGACTAAACATAGTTTATATGTATGTATTAGTAATTAATTATATGATAATTTTCTTGTACTCAAAGAATTACTCTAAACTAATGAGGCCACTCTTTTTGTTGCTTTTATTTTTATGTTTATCTAACAACATTTCAACCAATCCATTCTACAGCTCCAGTCCAAATATAGCAGCAATACTCCATTTTTAGTCTGCTCTAGCTCTTGTAAAGATAGAGTATAGCAGTGGGGGGGGGGGCAGTTACTTACTGGTGTAGTACAATGAACTTGGTTATAGTCACAATGTTTTTCACTTTTAGATCTCCAGGTGTCATTCATACCTTCTCAGAGTTTATTCAATCCACAGGTGTTAAAGTGGGTCTCCTTCAGGGGATTTAACTCATTTTAGTCAATTCTAATTTTATCTCTTACATTTAACCAAAGTATATAACATTTCTATCCTTCATAGCACAGGGATTGAGCTTACAACTACTAAGGATCCTGTTATAGTTTGACCATCATCATAATCCACGAGGTCATATGTCTCTTGGATAATCCATTGGTATCAATTTAAAGCCTTAAACCCACTACCAAGAAATCAGGTGGTGTAATTGTTTAGGTGCCAAATGACTGAAGTGTTATGATAGTAACAACCTAGTTGAGCATACCAGTTGAAATAGAAAGACTATACATAATGATAATTTCTCATTTAAAAAATTCTGAAATATATTTTTTCTTTAATAAAGAAATGAATGAAACAAAAAAAAAATTCAAATCTTAAGCCAGTCATCTTAAAAGTTTATTTTCTAGTGCTTTTATTTGATAATTCTAATTTAAATGTCAAAATAAAAACCTTTATTATACTTTAAAATTTCACAAATTGTACCAAGCAACATTCGTCAACAGAAATTGACTAATTCATTTAATTCAAAATTTCTCAAAACAATGTAATTTGCGATTACATATGAGAGAAATAAATGAAATACATATTGATTTTTAAAGTTATTCAAAAGGAAAACCCTATGAAAAGATTCAATTAGACATTAAAAAAAAAAGATTCTTTTTAATTGAAACAAACATGTATAAGCAGGATGTGTTGTTAGTATTCTTTCTAGTGATGGATCAAAAAGAGAAAAAAAAATCATCAGTTAGAATTTAAACCAAAATTCTTTTCAAGAATAATATTTTTACTTTAAAAGTTAACAAGTACAAGACTGATTGCTATAGAGAAGGGCCATTTGGAATCAAAGGGATGAGACAATATATTTTAACTATACTAAACAAGACCAACAGTTATATTAAAAAAAAAAAAAAGGAGAAAATGATGGAGACTAGCTTTATTTCATATAATTTTTTTGTTTTGGTGGGGGAGGTAAACTGATATACCATGAAACTAGTTCATTGTTTTGGGAAAGTCAGTCTAAATAAACCATCTTGCAGGTTTGTGCTTTTGAAATAATGTTTCAGTCAGAGTATTCTTCCTAAATGTAAAAAATAGATAAATAAAACAATGAAAAAAAAATGAGGAAATTATTATTTTTGCCTAATTTCCTTGTGATATTATGGAGTCTCTTTTTTATGAAACGATGGCAATTAATAATTCTTAACTCGTTTGTTTCATCTTATTTCCATTTTATTTTCCTTAAAATGGAACTCCTAGGTTGTGGTTTCACAAACCCATTAAATATAAAGCAAAGAAATTTCCATCATTGCAGTTCTGGGGATCAACTGATTGATTTATTTGTTTTTTTTTTTATGGGTTATCAACACTTTGCAGGTTATTTAAAGCCAGAAAAAAAATTTTTTTAGATAGTAAGTAATATTTATTTTTTTCAGATAGTAATTTTGGGTGAGATAATGTTTTAGTGATACTAATTAGTTGGAAGTACGATGGAGTAATGGATAGTGGCTTGGAGTGAGGAATCGGAGAGCCATGTTCAAATCTCAGTTAAATCCATTACATTCACTTACATGCTAATACCCTTGGGAAATCCTCCTCTTCTTCTCCCCCCAGCTATGTGTAAGTAGCAAGACAGACTGGGTTCTAAAAGCTTTAGATGGCAACTGGTCTACTACAGAAAGAAATGGCAACCTAATGTGGGGAAAAAACCTGCCTTGTCAGTCACGTACCAAAATATACAGATCGCCTAAGCATGTATCATGCACATAACTGACTGACTGATACTAATTAACTCAACTGGGGTGGGGAAGAGGCAAATTCATACCTTTCCCAGGGGTATTTTCACATAAATATGAATATAAAGACTATATATGATTGTAGAACTTGGCTGTCTGATTTCCAGTTCCAAGCTGTTATCCATTACACAAGCTTACAGTAACTGGTATTCCCAAGTGGTCACCCATCTAGATACTGACCAGGCTTGACATTGCTCTGTCTGCTGCTAGGAAAGTTGGTTCAGGGTTTCATGCCAGATAATTTTTCTTGTTGGAATCCATCTTGCACATTAATAAATCTATCATTCCTCCATGCATTGAATATTGCTGTCATATCTGGTTTGGTACTCCTGTTATAAATCTTGAGATTCTCAACAAAATCCAAAGAAGGATCTGTAATGTTATCAGTCACCAGCTGCCATCTTGTCTTCAGTTACTTTCCCACTGAAATGACATGAGTTCCCTATGTCTTTTCTATAAATATTCTCATGGCCTCTATTCTAATGAGATATTCTCCTTGGTACTTAAACTGCATGAATTTAAGTATATTACTAGATTATTAAATAGGTTTCATTGTTTTACAGTTGAAATAATAATGTAATTGTAAGTTCTATTCTAATAGTTTACTGTGTACTGAAAGAAAATTCTACAGGTACAAATACATCTGTTTTTTGAAGTCTTTCCTTCATTAGTAAGGAAATTGTCCAACATTAGATTTAATTAGGTATTCATTTGTAGAAGTTGGGGGGCGGGTTTGCAGAACACAAATTCTCAACTAGAATGGTCAAAGATCAAGTCTAGAAAAATAACATTTGGATATCATTTAAAAGTTTGTCTTTTTAAATGATTGGCATTGGATAACAGAACGGATTCTTTAAAAAGATCTTCACAAGTTGATTAAGCGTCAGAAATTTAAGATTTGAAAAAGCTGTTTGCTTCATTTTTTTTATTTTTAGAAAAGGAGAAATATTCTATTCATTCAGTCCCACTCTCAACAAAAATACAGATGGCCTCAAAAATCTTTAATTAAATCCATGTCATCAATAATTTAAAAGAATTCATTGAAGAATGTAAGATGTCTTCTCCACATTCCTTTCACAACTTTACAACCCAAATAGCCAAGCATATCAATCAACAATTTCTAGACATTTAATAAATATATTTGCTGACCTGTGAAGTGAAAAACAGCATTAACATATATTAATCATTAATGGCCATATCACATTAGAACACCAGTTCCCATATGATCATTGAAGTTAAGCAAGTTGAGCCTGGTCAGTACCTACATGGGTGACCACTTGGGAATATTAGGA